AATATAAAAATCATGGCGCTTGACTCCCACTTTAACACAAGAGTATTCTATGACATTGAATTTGTCAGCATTTGGGTTAGTGATCTCAGTGAAGTTGATACATTTCTTAATCAGGATAGCAGTTCCACCTCCTTTTTTACTATTAGCTCGATCTCTTCTAACTATTTCATAGTTATCAAATTTTAAGACGTGTTTGTGATTTAATTTCGTCTCAGATATCAGCGCAATGTCTATGTTGTGATAATTGATGAATTTATTCAGATCATATCTTCTTTTTAGTGAGTTAATAGAATTCACATTGATTGCAACTATTTTTAGCGTGTTAGTGGTGGTATCCGGTCTCGAATCCATTTTTATTCGTAAGTGATGTTTGCACCTAATTGGTCTATTCTTATTGAGTTCATCGATATCCGGTTCTCAATCGCTTCCAGTTTTGAGTTAATTTCTTTAAGGATTGCGTCCTTAAACATGCTTAGGATATTTTCGATATTACCTAGGCTATTGTCACTATCACTTCTGGGGGGAACTCCGGGTGTATTATGAGTATTTTCATGTTGGTTAACATCCTTCGTTGCTGGTCTGGGCGTATGGGGGAGGGTGGTTTTCTGCTGTGAGGATCGAGCAATAGTAGCATAAGAGAAATTTGGATCCACTTCCTTGAATATTTTATCTCTTCTCACTTTGTTGGATTCGTTGTGTGATTGTTGGCTCTTTTTCTTGAGCGAAGCGGCAGATTTTAGAAAGGGGCAGCCTCTGTAGGAGGCAGGATGGCCATGTTGGCCGCAGTTAGCACATAGTAATGGTTCTTTCTTAGAGTTATCCCCTAGTTCACATTTACCAGGACCGTGGGACTGAGCGCATTTCACACACCTGTAACCCCTATTACAATTTGAGCTAGCATGCCCAATATCCTGGCAGTTCTTACACTGGAAAATTTTTGGTCTCCGCAGCTTTTCCCATCTCACTTTTTGGTTTAGGAGGATTTTTGTTTTTAGAACTCTATCTAATTCGCTGTTGGCGTCCATGTGGACCAGGAAGTGATGTAGGTCAGTCTTTTCTTTATTGAATCTTAATTTAGTGACTTTGGTAAACGTAACTTTATCTAATTGCAGGCTAACGAGGTCGTTCAGGACCTCGGTTTCATCAAAACCGCCTCTGATTCCTTTAAGGACAATGGTTTTGGTTTTTAGATGTTTTGGGGTGTAAGTATGATATTTCATATCTTTGGCTTTGAAGAGATCTAGAATTTTTGTATAGGTCTCCATAAGACTAAGTTGCACACAAATTAATACTGGGTCCACTTGTCTAAGAATAAAGGTATCTTTAGGAATTTTATTTTCGCTTAATAGAGAAATTATCATTTTTATGCTTTGTTCTGCTAGGTATATAGGAGGAATCTTGAATTTACTTTTAGCGCCACTAGGTTCTTGAGGAGCGGTAACTCCCTCTATATCAGTAATATCACAGTCCATGTTGGTAAAGGCGTCGAATTTGTTACCCAGTGAAACTGTCGGACCTTCTTTACCGTCAGTGCACCCACTCCCGCGCCGAACGTATTTTTTAGGATGTGTAAATTCCTCGTCCTCTGGGTCTTCCCCAGTTTTATTGCCCTTTCTTTTAGGTATCAAGTTTGGAACGTGTATATTCTTGTTGAACGAATTTCTGTATGTAGCCATATTAAAATCTTTTTGGATATCTTTTATTAATTTTTTATTTTTTAGCGAATTAGAGACGCTCACTGGCATTGTTATTGATGTAGAGTTAGTGTTTTTATTGTCCATTATGATGGGTAAGTAGATCCTGTGTATTGCAGGGCAATACACCGGACAGAGTGCACAGAAGTGTCCAAACTCTCACTGTATTTATCACTGAACAAACTAAGGAATAAAATATAAAACACATTAACGCACGAATCACTCTCGATCTAGCTTGTTATATATCAAATTCAAATTTGAATTAAAAAGGAAGCGAGGCCCGTAGAGCGTCGGGTATTCGACCCTAGCACTTTGCCTGCCGAAACAAGACCGAAACAAGACTGCTGCTCCTATATAGAGCAGCATATCAGGCAGCGCAGAACCTCGGCTCAGTTTACGACCCTAGCAGCCTAGACGGTCTAAGGCTTTTGCAATTGACCAGAGGGCAGCGAAAGGTCGATATAAAAACAACCGAGCAGTTAAAACGGCTCGATGAACATGTGGCAAAGTCCTTACATGGTGTGTTTTACCGTCATCTCGAAACACAGGACTTGTCACACCAGCTGACTTTCCAATACCTTAAGTCAGCTGGCTTGTTCTCTGAGACCGAAGGGTTCATTATGGCCTGCCAAGATGGTGTATTTTCCACCCCCGTCCATCGGCGTGATGTTATGCACGAGCAACTCGAGGACACAAAATGCCGAGTTTGCCACGGTGATGTAGATGAGACGCTATTTCATATGTTATCGGGTTGTCCGGAATTATTGCGTTTTTGTTAATATGGTTGGTCAAACCTTCTTTGATTAACTTTTCAAAGATTTTACTGAGATTGGGAGAAGAATAATATCCCTTATTAAGTCTAAGAGGATAAAAAATTGTAGTGAAAGCCATCAGTTACTGGAGGTGTAGAACTCCTAACAGCCCAGTAAACACTGAATATAACAGCAATATAACACAAAGGTAACAATATGTAACAAGTTATAAAACGAAAAGTTACATATATGGTATTTAACTGTAATATATTGTCAAAGTAACGAGTTTATATTGCAGATGTCACACCCATGTCATGTTGTAGCTATATAACGTAGTTATCTAATGGCAATATAATTAGCGTTACATGCATGTTGTATCCATGTTATATAACACTGTTATACTAGTAGTATATATTTTTTGTTATTTAATGTTATGTTTCTATGATCTATTTCTATTTTCAATTTGAAAATTAAGTATCAGAAGAACCTAGTGGGTAAAAACGTAGGTTTAAGTTGCATGCGAGCGGGCGGTAGTAGGTTCGAATCCCCCAAATAGGAAAAATTCATTTCACTAAAGAAATCAGATTACACTTACAAAATAGTAGAAGAGTAAACAAAAGCAATAAAATCCAATAAAAATACATTGCTGACAATTTTTTTTTTTCAATTTAAACAATATCAATGTTAAATAAATGTTATGTAACAATAATATTACTGTAATATAACAAAGTTATAAAAATGTTATATAATTAAGGCGGAAATAGTAACATCTATGTTACTTCTATGGTACATAACTGTAATAAAATATGTAACAAAAACTATGTCAATGATATATAACTACAATATAACAGTGTTTACTGGAAAGATTATTGTCCTCATAGCTTGAACTTGGCGCGCAATTTTTGACAGTCCGTGGGGCTGTTTTTGGTAAAATGTTTTGGAAAGAATCTGAGCTAATCAAACAACTCCACGAAAAACGTTCCGAAAATTCCTTTACCCTCAGAATCGCAAAAATAGAACGAAAGTCATACTTTTTTAGGGAGTTAGCTAAGTATTTGGGTGATTTCAAGGAAGAAGGACTTTTTTTATACATTTTTCATGAATATGTATCTTTAGCTTATATCCTAATAAAAATTCAATTCGATTAAATATAAAAAAAATTAATTTGAAATGTTCAAATTAATATTAATTAATGAAAAGCTCATTAACCTTTGAAAATATTGTCAGAGTAATAAAGAAGCCCTCTGATGTGTTTTCTTTTAAAGAAAAAATTTTTTAAATATGAAATAGTTTTTAAAAAAATTCTACGTTCCACGGACCCTTAAATGGCATATAATCAATAAACGGTAAGAGATACGTAAAAAATGTATGAATACTTTTTTGTAGAGAATTTAATTCTCTACAACTTTTACTCAAACTTTTCTTCATATTTCCAGCCGTTCTCGAGATATTAGGGAAAAAGTCATTTTTGCACTCTTTCGCATTTTTTTTTGCCGGGGTTCCCTTGCATTCAGGATTCTGATTTTTTGCATTAATATTCCTACGACCCTTACGCACATTTTCGCGTAGGTTTCATTCTTTTACCGCAAAATGGTAATTTCAGCCATTCATTCATTGGACTATAAAGTTTCTAAATACTCCTCAACAATTACTGCCAAAGAAGTTTTTTACGAGTTACAGAGGTCAAACGTCAACGGAAGGGTAAAAAAATCATCGACCGTTTGACTTTTGACCTTTATAACTCGTAAAACAATTGTCCGAAAGTACTCGTTGAGGGGTTTTTAGAAACTTCAGAATCTAGGCGAAAGATACATGTCCACAAAAAAAACCATATAAAGAAATTCCTTCACACACGTGTGTGTGCGAGGGAAAATAATGGTAATTTGTTGCAAGTGGTCATATCGTTCTCTCTATTTTCTACAAATTCTCGTGCACGCATGTTGAAAGTGGTCACCATATGGCGCCACTTTCCGTCAAGAAAGTGAGCCGACTGGGCTTCCGTACATTAATGAAGTCAAGTGTACTTGCCGCAGCGTCGCTGCCTACACTAGATTCTCTAACTGATTTTTTGGGAAGTGTGAACGCACCCTTATCTGTGTCGTCATTAATGAACATTTGGCACGTGTTTTTTTTGTATTATCATATACACCTTTATAGGTGGTTAAATGAAATTTTATATTAAAGTCTTCCATTAGTTTTTTAGTTTTGTACATCGTAATGTCCTCCCTCGGAATTTTCTCCGCTGTTTTCATTTTGATCGCTGGGTCTTTTGTTGTGGACAGTCCTTGCGAAGGCAATTGCTGTCCCGCGCTCCCTCTGTTTAAATAGTTCTCAATGGCTAATATTAATAAATGTGCCAAATGAGCGGATTGTACAATAGCTGAGACATTGATACTTGTAAATTTTGTAATTCAAATTCTTGGATCAAGCTTAAAGAGTAAAATCTATACAACTTCAACGCACTCTCTTACTTTGATTATTCACTGTCCAAACGATCAGCTAGAACTGAAAGGCTCGTTGGTCTAGGGGTATGATTCTCGCTTCGGGTGCGAGAGGTCCCGGGTTCAAATCCCGGACGAGCCCATTCGTCAATATTTTTGCAAATTCATTTTGTGATTACATGCCAAGTACCTAAAATACGATAATATTTATAGAGAATTGTGTAATTAAGAGTGGAATGCCATTGATATGCCCATATTTTGTTTCAAAAAAATTTATCAAACTATTTTACCAACTGTTGCATCAAAATTTATATATGTAGTTGTCAGTGTATTCAGTTTATTGTTGTAAACGCCAAGGTAAACGTCATGGCAACTGGTTGGAGTGATTCAAAAAAGCATTCTGACAGAGAAAGGTAATAAACAAAGCTTATTTATTCACAAAAGTTCTCAAATTATCACTGTATACTGTTTGAAAAAGTTGTTCTTCGTTTTCAATCAATTTAAATACTGTTTTAATGAATCCGTATGTTTCTAACCTAACTCACATCCTATAACCTCTCTATTTATTTCATTTACATTATTGTTCCATTTTGGAGTGATTGATTATCGTTTCTTTTTTTAGGTGGGTTTGCATTTATCCAATATATTTAAATAGTAAGAGAACACGTGCTCAAGGACGAAAATTAATAAAATCAAAATGCGTGGAGAATCCAACTCACCAAGAAATTCGTGACGTTTTAATAGCAGCAGGTTTGAAGGTTGGTGTAGAAAATAAACTTCATCCTAAAGAACGCAGTAAGGAATTACTTTTTCGTGGACGAATTCGGGTGCAATTAAAAAATGATGATGGAACTCCGTGTCATCCTGATTTTCCCACAAGAGATTCGCTGCTTTTGCATTTAGGAACTACTATTCCAAATCTCAAAACAAGGCAGGGTAAACAAAACTTCAACGAACAACAGTCTTCTCAACAAAGTACTACCTCGACGAAAAAAGGCAAAGGAAAAGGAAGAAGATAATTATGATTAATAAGACTATGTATTTAATTATTAATTATTGATAATCTGCTACTTTCATTCTATTGCCATTGTTAGGTTGGAGAGAAGTGTTTTGTTTTAAATTTATTTGTTTGGGAAAAAAATGTCGTTCTTTTTTTTGATGAAGAATAAGCACATTCACAAAAGATAAGTTTAATTTTTTATAGGTAGATCAATAATTTCTTTCCAACTTAATGAAAATTCTTTTTCTTTTCAAAAAAATATTTTTTATGTGAATAAAAATATCAAATATATAATCTATAGATGAAAAAATATAAATATATATTAAGAAATTACTATAAACGTCAGTGTATTTATTGAAAATCTTTTATCATTATCAAGTACTAAAAACAAGTAGATCTCATTTTGGCTTTTAAATATCATTTGATTTATTATTTTACAAAATATTTAATGCTTTAATTACTATTGTCATTCTTTATTAGTTAAAACTAATAAGAATATCCAAATTATATTATTCATACATACATTAATTAACAATGAGTTTTCTATTTAAATACTTGTTCATATACGTTACTACTCACATACTAAAAAATTTATCATTTACCGTAAAAAATTTATCACTAATCAATAAGTTTAATTTAAGTGAAATTTTTTTTCTTTTTGATAGTATTTAGTTTTTATTTTTCTATCTCTGATTCTTTTCTTATACGACGAATTGGTATCATTGTATGCGACCTTTCATTGCTTAGTCCTGAATTTCCCATATTTACTGTTTTTATTTCAGCATTTGATACTGCTTCACTCACATTTTCTTGTTGAATTTGCACATCACTGGTCTTCGTTACAGTTCGGTACGTTTCTGGGGTAGAACTCTCAATATTCCAGCTATTAGTATTGTCAGTAGTTGTTGAGTGTCCCATATCATTATGTACTGCTCCAACAATATAAGAAGGATGCATATGAAATCTTGACTTTTCATGATAGCTTTGGAGATATTGATTTAAGTTTTCTAGAAACGAATTTTGTTGGGCTAAAAAAGTTTGAAGTTGTATCATATCGATAGGTATAGAAGACTCAATTGGATAAGATCCAGGAGGGAGATAATTGTATGGAAATTGAGGGATTACAGATGATGATGATCCACCATGGAGAGAATTATGATACACAGAATTAATTTTATCCGTCCAGGATTGAGAATTGGTAACAGATTTTCGATAATTTTGCTCTGCTATAGATTTATAAATCGCATCCATCTGAAAAATAGTAAATAAAACTTTTATGGTAGAAAATCTATAAATTTTACGCATTAGGTTGTTGAAAAAGTCATTATATCACAAAAATAATATATTTATGCTATAAAATATATGATTTAGCTATTTTATTTTACTTTAACTGATAAAAAATTATTTTACGACTTGATATCAATCATTTGAATCTTTAGAGACATTTAAAGCTGAAATAGAGTAGTTATTTTTTGAATTAAAAAAAAAAAATACTCACAAGTTTATTTTTCACAGGTAATGGTGGAGTACTTTTAGGAACATAAGGAATAGAAGGATGATAAGAATTACAAGGAGTTTGAGATGAAGGTAAGTAGTTTGATCTTATAAGATCACTGTAGAGTTGATTATATGGATAATACATGGAAGATGTAGCTGCAGCAGCTGCATAGGATGAATGAATTGGTAAAGAAGATGATGGTTGTGTTGGATAAGTACATTTAGTGCATTTATAGACATAAGGATAGAAAGGTGCAGTGGGCGAAGTTGGACGATTGACATAGGATAATGGAGTACAAGGTTTTACAGTTCTTGGTTGTTCTGGCTCATAATATGGATCTTCAATTTGATTTGATACTGTTGATAAATCGTAGTAATCTAACGGTTCATTAGTAAAGTCGTTTAGCAATTGTTCCACTGGAGTTGTCGACTGAAATTGCTGTCCAGAATTGTCACAACGAGATCGGATAATCGGAAAACCATTCGATGGACCTCCATTCATAAAGTATTGAGTTATGAGATCAATGTCACCTAGAAATATTTTTTAAGCAATAAATATTTTATTTGATAGTAGATATTATTATCAAATATTGGTAATGGATGGTTCAAGTGACTCACTTGCTTTAAGGCGTCCATAATTGTGACGACTATTACATGGAGGAAGACGTTCAAGCGTTGCTGGCTTACAGTTAACAAAGTCTAGATGAAGGTCTTCAGCTTGTCTCTTTATGCGACCCACACATTCAGCGTCTGATAGGTAAATTAAATAAATTGTTAAACTAGTAGGTATGAAAAATATTTCAGAAACTGCTAAAATGATAGATAAATGTGTTTCATGATTGCTATTAATCTTGTTGAAAAATCAGTCTGTAAAGATGAATTTATTGGCTCAAAAGCTAAATATTAGTTGATTCATCAACGTAAAAATCAATAACTTGATGATACGTTTGAAAAATTGGTATTAGAACACTTACTCTTCTGATTTTCATTATCAATATAACACTCGCATTTATCATCAACGTAAGATGCTACACCTCCACAACTTTTACATAAATTTTTACAAATATCATCATTAATATCTTTATCAGGTTGATTACCGGAAACTTGATATAGAATGAATGACAAGAGAATTATTTTGATGGTCGTAGCACACATAATTAATTGAAATGAAAGCCAACTCGAACGTCAAATCAAACTAAATTCTAGTCTATGATCATTCAATTTATATGTGCTGAGTTTCGGACATTATAAAATTAAATTTGCTGATAGGCATTTCAATTGTGATTGTATTTACTAATGGCAACTGTTTTGTATGACATTTTGTAACTCAGTTCTGAGTAATTGTATTTGATCCCGGAAAAAGTAAGTTGAAGCCAGACTCAACAGTGAAAGGAAAGTATATCCAAGCTATACGATAAATGACCCACTAATATAAATAACAAGTCGCAATTGTAACAATAAATATCGTTATAATTCAAAGAAAAATATGATTTAAATTCTAAAAAACTAAAATAGTAAATAAAATAATTTTTTTATTTCCTATTTTTATTGCAAAAGCTAAAAAAAAATTCCCTTTACCGTGACAATGTTTACACATTGCCGTGACCAGGATTCGAACCTGGGTTACTACGGCCACAACGTAGGGTCCTAACCACTAGACGATCACGGCTGTTAAAGGATATTTCTCTGGTGCTTCAAATAGACGTGAGGTCTGGATTGGTGATATAATTATTTATTTGTTAGAATAAACGATTAATATCTTTATTAAATGCTATCGCTGCGGTTATTATTTGCTCAGAGCATATAGGAATTTCGAAATTACAGTATGGAAGTTTGCAAACTGTTCATATAATTTGAGGTCATGTTTTAGTTGGAACATTCGTAATATCTCTTCAGCATTTTAGCCTCCTGATAAAGATGAACCACTGGTGGCCAACGTTATTATCGTTTTTGGGTGCTTTCTATGACTATCACGTACGAAATTGGACCCATTAGTTGGCAATTATGTGGACATAGTAGTTGAATAATTTGTGATGCGTGAAATCTGCGTGTTTGTATACAAACTGTGGCAGTTTATCGTTAAAAAGGTGGAATAAATTTTTTTTATTTCTTTTCCCAGAGCTTTTTCCAAAAATTCGAGCTAGATAAAATGACTTTTCCGTTTAAATGTATTCTTGAATGAAGCAATTAAAATGGTAGAAGGCTATTCAAGAGAACATTTTGATTAAAAATATTCTAAATTTGACGACATAATGGAATATCATATCATGCGTATCAATGATCTATGATCTTAACGAGAATCAGTGCGTGACTTAATTCAAGATTTCTGTGTTCCTGATCGCCAGAGTCTCGTATTAGCCTACCCCAATGAGACACGTTCGAGCCAGCTGGCTATATATCATCATGATTACACGTTGGGATCAATGACTGACTCAGCCAAGTTGTATGCCATCGTACGAAATGAATTCTTGAAACGTATATCACGTACGATACATCATCAGCAATAAACTACACAATAATTCAGTAATTCCAGTATGCAAAAAATAACAGTATATAAATATTTGAAGTAAAAAATATTATTTTAAATATTAATCTAGATTTTATGCTTTGATCGTGGTAAGAAGAAAAAAGTAGTCTATAACTGGAGCGGAAATCCGTTTTTCTAGCGTATGTAGATATTTACGTCAACACCTTTTCTCTTTCTCTTTCTTTCTTCATTGAAGTATCAATTGAATACCGCGTAATAGCTTGTCAGGAATAATCAGTTTATTGATTTCAACTTGACAGGATCCCAATGAAGTGGATATTCATGTTTAAAACACAGAATTGAAATTCAGGACGATGGTTGGAATTAAATATAGATATGGAGAAGTCAATAATTATATTATGATTGATTCAATTTTATTCTATATTTTATAATTATTTGAATTATTTTATTAATACAGTAAGATATCTTACTTTTATTTATTATTCATAATCGATATTTTATATATAAGCTTGTCAAATCCCTTAAATCCTATAATGCAAATTCTATTACAAAGTTTATAGAGAAGTTTACAGAAAAATATTAAGAATTCGATTATATTTATCAATATACTTTTAAAAAAAATGAATTATTTATGCGTTGGAGTTAGAAGGATATTTTTTTCAGTGTAAGAAATTTTATTGTATTGATTACAATTTTGTTTGATTATCTTCCTTATTGAATTTTCTTCAACTAAATTTCATTGTGTTCTATTTAATTTTATTTGCCTTCACACATACAATTACTGTTTATTTAGTATTTCATAGGTTTAATAATTTTTCAACTTTCTTGGTTTTGTTTAATGTAATCAATATTGCAAAATATATTATGAACTATTCTGTCTATTATTCGTTCTTTCTTACAATAAAATATGATTTCATTGTTTTTATTTGCTTTTACAAATGAAAATTATAATTTTTAAAGAACATTGAAGATTAACATACAATAATAGAAAAATATAAAAATAAAACAAGAAATTTCAATTACTCTATTTTTTATTTTTAAATTTAATTTTTATGTAATTTTATCCTTTTTTAATTTTATTTTCTTACAAAGTATGTAAAATTTATATGTTCAAGTTAAACAAAGTATGTTAATAATGTGAACTCAATAAAACTGTGCTTTTTCTTAAAAAGCTTACTTTTTTTTTGCTTATTAGTCATTCAAAGTAATATTACAATTTTTTAATCTCATTAATATAGTATTTAAGGCCATATATATTTATTATACATATTTTCTCGCATGAAATACGCATAAAAAATAAGTAACTGACGTTTTAACAGTTTTATTTTCATCTTATTAAATATGCTGAAAGAAAAAAAAAATTTTTCTCACGAAACAACATGAGTCTAGAGGAATTTAATAAATTCTGTCCGAGCTTGTTATATAATTATTTTTATTACATTTTCTTTAATCTGACATCTTGCCACAACTAAAATGGGGGAAAAAATAGCTACTACTTTTAATTGAGAAACATGATAATTCGTAGATCAACGAGTGAATGAATTAATAAAGCGATAGGAAATTAATTAGATAGAGGAAACCACAGGACGTGCATCTGGTTATCGCTTCTGAAATGCTTCATTGAATAGAGTTTGACCTTCATTATGGTAGCTAACACGCGTATTGAAGGATGAGAACACGTGCGACTGGTGTCAAGCAATGATGGGACACGCGGTTACATGGGTATCATTAAGCAGAGATCCGATTTCCCTGTCTAATAGGCAATCAGGCACATCAAATCATGTTAACATTTCCATATTGTAGATGAAATAACTGAAATATTTTCATTGTTAATGAATATATCACTTTGAAATAATGATGATAGTCTTTCACTATTATTTTGCGCTTAAGTTTAGAAATTTTTATCTCAATATGTTTCTTTATGATTTTATTCGAGCGACAAATTAAACTAAAAATAATCCTTTGCGCTGGTAGACAAGCATTCATGTGTTCAAAGGTGGCTTTCGCTTGATGGGGAACGTTATAGCTGAGGCTTAACACGGGGCAAGGCGAGAAACAAGCAGAGGGAATTCGTGCAGTAGCTTGAACACGTATCCAACCACGCTTTGAAGTGTCAAAGTCGCCTGACAAAATATGTATATATGTATAAATTGACATGCTGTGACCTCGTACAAATATATGTGTGCTTTGAGTTTGTGCTTTTATTGACTTCTTTTTTATTTATTCGACTTCCATGTGAAAAAGATTTATAATAGAACAGTCTTTCGTTTTCAACTGTCGTCAAACAATAAATGAAGTTGTTGAAAACACAGTTCATTGAAAAGATTACAAATTTGACTTTTTGCTTGATATTAACACACCATCCTCTCATTGTTATCATTAAATACAGTTGTTATCAACATATAGTTTAGTTATTAATAATTATTCATTACCTCGGTGGTTTTTCAGAGATAACAAGCTTGTTCACAGTCATGCATGAATAAATTATTTATTAATATTCATAAAAATAGTTGAATGAGTTAAAAACATGTCTAGATCTATTGAAGTGTTTAGTGAAGATCTAAGGCAATTAAGCATCAGTATCTGATTTAGTATTTTGGTCTATTTTTGGAAATGATGCTTTATTGGGTTGAGCATTTTTCTGGTCGACTGATCAAAATGTGGACAGACGTTTGAGCATTCGAATGTATTATGACATGTCATCAGTGTAGTGTAAACCACAATATCCTTGTGGTTATTTACAAAGACATAATAGCCTGTTATAATAACTGATAGTCAAGTATGGAAGAGTCAGTGCTTGCTGTTGCTCTCCAAAAGTTGATTCGGAAACCACTGGTTTTCCTGTTTGTGTCAGGTTGAAAATGTTTTGTAGTATCAATAGCCATTGCATTATTATTTCAATGGTCAGTCGATGTTCGATTGTGAATCGGTAGAATGGGGTCGGGTCATTGTTCACTCGAATGTTCGCTGGTCGATAGAAGACTACAGAGTAAGGATGAGAGATGAGATGAGTACACGGCTTGGCATACGGTCCATCGATAATCGATTTCCATTCAAGCGTGCGCGCGCGATGCCACGACGTGACAATGTTTATGGACCTCGATTAATTGAAATTCTGTGAGGTAATAGCTTGTGCTCGTCCAAACCAATTTTCTCGATTCCAGGATTATTTTCAAATGATTCTGATTCTCATAGACAGTTGATCTGTCTCCTTTTTCATTATCTATTGAAATTTTTTTACATTTTTTTCCATCCAATAACTACTAAAAATGACATTTTTTAAATATATTTCGCATTTTTCCACCCCCCTATCTCATTATTTGTCGATAGAAATTATTTTTTAATTAACTTTATTGATTTTATAATTACTCAACACATTAACTTTTTAATTATTTTACTTGACACTTTATCTTTCACTAGACACTACTGGATAATTCAACAGTTTAGTTCTCTTAACCCTCAAGGGAACTCGACGTCGACCTCTATTTCCAACTGCAACTGTCTGCGAATCTCAGAATTCTAAGATAAAGACTAAGAATTTCACTCGTATCTACTATAGACTTTAAATATTTTCAAAGATACCAAACGTGTTTGAAAAAAAAAACTGTCAGCACTAATCGTTTAGGACTTCTACTGCGAAGAAAAAAAATTACTACTCCAATTTGACCATCTGAGATTTCTTTTTCTATAACTTTCAGAAAGTGCATCGACTTCTCAACAATGTCTCAGAGTCTTTTTGTCTTTATTTGTTCACTCGCTCACTCTTAGTAGCCAAAGGGAAGAAGAAAGAATAGGTGCAAGCACTTCAAGAGTTATTTT